CTGGCCCCACTTCGCCCAGGTCGTTGGCCACAGCTCAGGGCTACCCTGAAGAAGGCAGGGCTGGATCATGCACAGCCAAGGATCCGTACAAATCTCACCTCCGGAGCTCCTGCGGTGGCTCTGGGAAAGGGTTGGGATTCTGCCCGTTGGCAGGAAGGAGAGAGCCACCTCTGCCTTCCACGCAGGACTTTTGACCAGGGAAGAGAACCAGGTATGTTCCTTCTCTGGGGCGGGGGGCTTCTGCTTCAGTGGTGAGGGATGCAAAGGGAAGGGGAACCCGTCCTCCATCACCCCAACTCTCTCACTGGTCTTACCGGATAGGACACGCCACCCTCCCATCCCGCGTGGGTGGGGATAGCCGAGCGAAGGGTTAATGGCTGGTCTGTGCGCTGGAGAGGAAGAGGAGGCAGGCAGGCTGCCTGCTAATCATGCCTGCCTGCTCCAGGGCTCTGAATCATCGCCGCTGCAGCTGTAGCCTCTTCAGGATGAAACAAGGAAAACTGGGTTTATTGTGCTGAATGAGTTTGGGGCTCCTCCCTGATTGTTGGTAATTGGCGGCCAGGGACTTAACAGCCTCTCCATCATGTCTTCCTGCACTCTACCTGACGGTGCAGCTAACAATTTAAATCACAGATGCCGGGTCCTGGCTCGGCAGCTGCTCGTTATCCGCCACGGGTCCCCTCGTGCCGTCCCTCACCCCGCCACACCCACCGGGGTGAGCCTGAAGAGTTGGCTTTTTTTTTTCTTTTTTTGTCACCCACATTTAAAACGGAATGAAAAGCCCGGACAGACTTTGATTAGTACTCCCAGACAGCAAAGTTGTAATTACCTTCCTCTTTTTAAAAAAAAAAAAAAAATTATTATTTTTTCCTTTTTTTGAGCTAAGACAATTGTGGGGGCAATATTAATAGGAGCACTGAGGCTCATCCTTCGCCTCTTTTTTTTTTAAAAAAAAGAGGCACTGGGGGTCGGGCCGGAGGGAGGGAGAAGAGGGAGAAGCGAGAAAACAAATACTCTTTAATCAACTAGAAATTATCACCCTGGTGCAATTAGGCGCTCTGTCTTTCGTGCTGCGTATGTGTGTGTGTGTGTGTGTGTGTGTATGTGTGTGATTTTGGGGGGGAAATCCCATTGGGATGCAATTCAGTTCATCCTCTTGCAATTCAGTTCATTCTCTTTGCATCTCCCCCTTTTCAACCACCCCCACCCCCATTTGCACCCAAGGAGGAGAGTCCAGGCTGGACCTGAAAAGGGGCCGGCGCTAGACCAGGTGGCAAACCCACCCTGGATCGGCATCCTTGGCCTGCCACCCAAGGAAGGGCAGGAGAGGCACTGCATCCATGGGGAGCATCTGGATTGACTTGGGGGTTTTAAGGAAGCCTTGATGGAGTCTAGGGTTTCCTTGTTTGGTTGGAGACCTCCCAGCTCCCTTCCAATTTGGTTATTCATCTATTCAAGATGAATTTTTAGCCCGGTCCCTCAAGCCTTAAGCAAAGAGGCTGCCATGATTTAATGCTAAAGAGATGGGGAAAGTATATCTCCGTGCGTTCTTCTTCTTCCCTCCTTATCCAACACCCCGCTGATGCCATCAAGAACTCCAACCCTCCCCTCTGAAGATCTGTTGCAGGGGGGGGGGGGGTCTGGGATCCCCAGCAACCTGCCTGGGGTGCTTTCCGTAAACCTGGGGCAAAGACCGTTTCAGGTCTCCATCCCCAAAGGACATAATCTTAGGAGCAGCTCTGTGGTTAGAGCTCTCCTGGGTCCTTGTTTTGAAGTCAAACAAAAACGTTCTGAAGTGACCTGGACAATGGCTGTGCCCTGGAATAAGGACGAGTTCAATACTCGAGGGTGACCTTCAGGAAATCTCCTGGTAAAATAAAGACTGCAGCTGCAAAGCCTTCTGTGGCCGGGCCTGGCCTGGCCTGGCCTGACTGCGACTTCCAGGCTAATTGCCATCCAGAAAGTTCTCCGCAACCCTTGGCCACCAACCAGGAGTGACCCCTTAGCTGCTGGTTCCCATTTAACCGGTGCAATTAGAAATTGCCCGTTAAAAGGAACTCTTCCAGCCTGGGTTGAAACGATCTGTTTGTTAATGTTACGCTGTGGATTTGATTCCCCCGGCTTTGGAGGCGGCTACGTATCCGTAGCAGACAGCTCAGACCCAAACCTTTGCTTGTTGTTCTTTGGCAAGCCAGGAATTCAATCTTTGCAGGTTTCCAAGCACTCATTATTTGAGGGCCTGGAAACCCGGAGGGGTCGGGGGGGGGGGCAAGCACCAAAGATCGTGGACTCTGCCATGGAGAAGTTGCCAAGGCACGGACCCCCTCCCACCCCTAGCCCAGCAGGGCTCTCCAAGGGAATCTGCGGAGTCCCTCCTCAAATGGGAGGGAGGTGCTTTTAGGTGGAAAGGCTGGGAAGGGAGATTTGGGACTCCGAATGCCCACAGCTGAATGCCACCAGGTCCTCCTGCTGAGCCCTCGCTAGGGCCAGGCAGTGGTTAAAAAAAAAAGTCGCCGGAAGGTGAGGAACAGCTTCTCACGATCCTGCCTATTTTACACCCGTGTCTCTTGGATCGGATGGTGAGTCTCCAAGAGCCTGACAGAAGACTCACATGTGGGCCCTTTCCTAGTCTGGCTTAAGAATGCTGCCCTTCCTCTAAAATTTAGTTTAGTTTACTTTATGGCCATTGCACCTCGTACAACGAAATCAAGCACCATCTTCAGGGCGCATCATGACCATGAAAATAAACACAAACACACATCCTTCACACTCCACACATTGAACCGGCAACCCCCGACACCACACCAACACTGCACTATACAGCATAATTCAAAAGAGCTACTGCCCTGGGATAGAAGCTGTTTTTCGGCCTATTTGTCCTTGTTTTTATTGTCCTGTACCGTCTGCCAGATGGTAATAGTTAAAAAAAAAAAAAAAGGGTGCCCAGGATGAGACGGATCTTTGAGAATGTTTTGAACTTTCTTAAGGCAGCGGGAGCTCTAAAGCTCTTCCAAAGAGGGGAGAGGGCAACCCATGATCTTCTGGGCAGTGACGTTAACCCTCTGGAGTGCTGTCCTATCTGCCCCTGTGCAACTGGCAAACCATACAAAAGTGCAGTAAGTTAAGATACTCTCTATAGTAGAAGGTCACCAGCAGTCTTTCATTGAGATGTTGTTTCCTGAGAAGCCTCAGGTAGTATAATCTCTGCTGGGCCATTTTGCCCACAGCTACAATGTGAGCCCCCCCAGGTCAGGTCCTCTTTTAGGGTAACACCCAGAAACTTAAAACTGGCCACTTGCTCCCCTCGGTCTCCATTGATAAGCAAGGGCTGGAGGTCTGATCTGTTCCTTCTATAGTCCACTATAAGCTCCTTGGTCTTATTGGTGTTGAGGACCAAGTTATTGTCTCCACACCACGAAAGCAAGCAAAAAATTCATCCAGGGCTGAATTAAATAAGAGCAGAGGGAGCTTCCCTGTGTCTCTCTTTGGTGACACAGATTGAGCTCAAAAAGATTTGGCATCTCCAAAGCCTCCAGTGCTGCGTTACGTGCATTTCCTTCTGACTCCACACCCCAATTTTGGGCATCGCTAACTCAACAGTTCTGGAGTGCACGGCTCCATGAGGGATCTTTCTCCCCTCGGAGAGGCTCCTCCACAAAACCAGATCCTTTGAGTTCGCCTTAAGGAAGCTGCACCAAGCGGTGATTTCAGAAACAACGGCTGTGTCGATCATATGCAGTATTAACAACCAAAAGATGTAGGAGGCGGGCGGGAAAGAAAGAAAGAAAGGCGCTCATTCACCCATCTCATCTCTCTGCCGTTCAGAGGGCTGGGCGATGGGAAAACCGGCACACAACTGACACAATTTGTTTCGTTCCCGGGCCCAGGAGCAGACTCAAAAGAGCTCGCGATTAATTTCGGCATAAGCCGGAACATTCTTGCAAACAGGTCTGGCGCCCGTTCTTTGAAGAATGCACTGATTACCAACAATTTCTCGGGGCTTGCCACAAACATTATGTCTTTTGTTGTGCGAAAGAAAAAGAGGGAGGAAAAAAAAAATAGCAGAATCAACCATCTGGCAAATGCCCCAGAGCTAAAATCTTTCACACGGCTTATAATTCACAATGATTAAATATACAAAAGCAGAAAAGAGGAAGAAGGGGAGAAAAAAAAAGAGAGAGAGAGAGAGTTATACTATAGTATGTTAAAAAAAAAAAAAAAAAGAAAGAAAAAAGAAAACCGGAGGACTTTCATTGCTTGATCAAAACCCAACGCCATCCGCGAAAAAAGTATCCGAGCAGACACACTTATTTATTTCCTTCCAGGCTAATAGTTTCAATTTGCGACTTGCAAAGTGGCCATTTGAACCCGTCCCAGCTAATGGGGCCTGGGTGTCACAGGCCATTTCCTGCCCTGTTTGTCAGGGGGCCAGGCGCTGCTCTCGAGGGGCAACCGGCAGCGATGCCAGGCAGGGCCGGGCAGAGAGAAAGGAATTCAGGGCTGCAAAAGGGCCACGGAGGAGCAGAAACAGAGGGCAGGGGAAAAAAAATCTTAGAATGGAAAGGGCTCGTTCAAGGCCGAAGACCTGGGTTCAAGTCTTCGCAATGCCTCTTTCGAATCCCAGACGGAGGCGGAGCTTAGTTTCTCTCCGGGTGGGTCTATCTGCTCTCGAAAGCCTGGGCGTGTTCCTAAATATTTCCTGCCATCTGTTTTTGATGCTTCCAGAGCTGGCCAGTCGCCTGCCAGGGTTTTCCTGCCTTTCCGGCAAAGGAGCAGTTCTGGATGTGTTCCCTCGCCCGGCTGACCATTTCCTTGCACGCTCGCCCCCCCCCCCCCCCCACCCCGCCTCTCTTGTCACCTCGGTGGCCCCCTCCAGCCTTGGAAGACCCTCTGGGGAGGGCGGCTGTTCCTTGAAGGGCAGACAAACGCTGGTCGTTTCCAATTGTATCCGTGGCCTTAAGGGAAGGGATGGGCTTTGGCACCAGATCGCATCTTCACACCCAGAGGGAGGGGGAGGGAAGGGGGCCACGCTCCTGCACAACGCCCAGATGCCCTCTTGCAAAGCGGATTCGCACAATGGGCCACTTATGATTGTGGCCGAGTGTCTCTATCCTCTCTCTCTCTCTCTCTCTCTCAATCCTGCATTGGGAATTCCTGTGTTTATCTCACTCCTCACGAGTGTTGACCCCGGGTCCAGGAGCTTGGTCTGATGGCACCCAGAGGCATGGTGATTAGGCTGTAGTAGGAGAGATGGCCCAGTCCCAGCTATGGCAAAGTTCTAGAGGTGTTCCAGGACCGATCCCGCCAACCCCGTCAAGGTCATGGCCTATCCTTCTAGTGGAGCGTCTCTAGAGTCCAACCTACCTTCGAGGGTCTTAAGAAGGCTGATCTGAAGGGCCCTGATTCCTCCCCACTCCCAACCAGTGGGCCAAGGGGCCACTGGTGGTCCTTGAGAAAATTTGGGTGGTCCGCAGAGAAATGCCACCCCCAAAGCAATTAATCCAGGCTGCGCGGGCACATAAGGCTTGTGGCGCTTGCACTGCAAACAACATGAGGTAGTGAGGGGAGGGGAGAAAGGGCAGAAGAGGGGGAACTTGCCCCACTCACCCCACGCGCCTGGCCTGGCCACTGGGCTGCTTCTTTCCGCTTCTTTCTTCTGCTTTTGGTTGCACGCAAGGAAAGCAGCCAAAGTCTTTCTTTCTCTCCCCCAAACTCTGCCAGAAATGTGTCTTTGGGACCCTGCAAGGCCTCCTGCTCCAAGAAGCTGCGCCAGCAAAGACTCATTTCTGGTGGAGTTTGGGGGAGAGAAAGAAAGATTTCTGCTGCTCCTGCTGTTTTCCTTGCATGAAGCCAAAAGTCTCTCCCTCTCTCTCTCCCCCTGAGAACGGAGCTGGAGACGGTATCCTGCGATCCCAAATAAAGAATGATGGATTGGTAGGAAAACGGGGTGGGGAATTTTCCTGCAGACTTTTTTGGGGGATTTTCCCAGGGTCTCTGGGATTTAAAATTATGAGTTTGGTGGTCCCTGAGATCCAAAAGGTTGGCAACCCCTGATCTGAAGGACTCCAAGACTTGGGCTGGTCTGCCCAAGGGTGACGGGGACTTCCGCCTTGCTGATTGTGCAGCCCCTGCAACCGGTTCCAGGTGGGAAGGGATCCGGAGGAGAAGGGCCTACCTGCATTTCTCAGAAAGCGGTGCCGGTAATCCACCACCACTCTGGTGTTCGGGTTGTAGAAACCATCTCCGCAGTCGTAGCAGCCGGTGGGAATGCGCCGGGGAGGATCCAGGTCGGTCAGCTGGGAAATCCCTTGGAAAGAGAAACCGAGGAAGAGGAGGAGGTGAGAAACGAAAACCCTGAAGAAATAGCCCAACGTTTACTGCTTTGTACCAGGAGCTCCGATTGTGACTCTTTTGGGGTCTCCCAACCAGAGGGGAGAAGGTCTGCCCACCTCCCAAAGAGGGGAAGTATCAGTCATTCCATCATCGGGCTGATTCAAGGCTGTACCTGCTGGCTTCAGGCCGTTGCAGATTTCTGTGTAAAACCTCCGGTCGTAGCCATCGCAGTAATGCCACTTGTTGTCTTTATATTCCAAACCATCAGAGAAGGTGTATTTCCCCTGCCGGGCCAAATTCAGAGTTAAGGTTGAGCAGAACCAAGCATTGAGATCCAACTTCCTGTTTCTTGGTTGTATTTTGGTTTAAGGATGCCGCCCGAGCCCTCAAGGATGGCTTCTTCTCCTTCTCGGGTTATGTGAATGAACCTGCTTATCAAGCGGTCATCAATGATAAATCTGTTTTATCAAACCCAGGAAACAGAGCAACAAGGCAGGTAGAAGAAGCAAGACACCCTACGGAGAAGAGCCAGGTGTGGGCACTTCTGAAGAGGATGGACATCTTTGAAGGACATTTAAGGTCCGTCCAGCCCCTGGTCCTAAAAGGTCCTTATGGGGCAATCCATTCTGGATCCATTCCCCAGCATCGTCTTAGCACAGGATGTGCACCAAGCCACTCTTGATTTGTGGGTGTAGGAAGCACAACGTGCTTGGGACTCTCACCCAGGAAGACATCTGGCAAGGCTTCAGAAATGGAGGAGAAAGGATGGCTCCCCATAGGCCCAGATGGGTCGACATCCTCTCCCTCCAGGAGATCATCGCTCAAGGACCCCAGAGGCTCCCGGATCCCCCTGGCGGACTCCATACCTCCACACAGATGCCTTTGTCCCAAATCCCTTCGTATTTGCTGCCGCCGGGGAAGTAGAGGGTTCCTTTCCCATGGAACATCCCGTCCTTCATCTCGCCCTCGTACTTGGTGTCGGTGGGGAGGGTGTAGGTCCCCGTTCCTTCCAACCTGGGGGGAGCCCAGAGGGAATGTCAGGCATCCCATTCTTACACCTCTCTCCAACCACAAAGCCCCTCGCCCACCCACCCACCTAGCCCTTCCCTGCCCAGGTGGGGGCTTCACCCTCATGCAAGGAAGCAATAGGCCTATGCGTTGCCCCCCCCTCCCCTAATCATCATATATCAAACGAGGAGGGGAGACTATGATGCATTGGACCTATTAATAGGCAGGGATAACGGCCCCCATCGCCCCCCAAGCCCCCACCCCCCGTCTTGCCCTTAAGAGCATTATCGACACGGTCCTGCATAAGCTTTAGGGGTGATTTATGGTTTATTTAGCGTTGCATATTAACGGACCGCGTCCCCCAGCCGAGTCTTTACGGGGGCAGCCCGCATCTGCCAGGCATTCGTGCCAGGCACCCTGCTTTACACGCGAACAGAGGCTCCCCGCTGCAACCTCCGCCTAAGACGTGTGCACCACCCCCCACCCCCACTCTGCAACCTTTAGGCGGGGAGGGGGCGGAGGCTGGACCCCGGTTCCCCAAAGGGGCGCGTCCCCACGTGCACCTGCCGTTGACGCGCTGCCCGCGGTAGAAGCTGCCCGTGTACTGCATGGCGCGGCGGGGCTGGGGCGCGCAGGCGCGCGCGTCTCCGTCGCCTAGGCAACGCGGGGGCGGGGCGGGCGAGGCGGGGCCCACAGCGGGGCGTCTGCGCCTGCGTGGCGGGGGGAAAAGGGGGGGAAGGAGCATGCGCAGTAGCGGCCTGAGGCCCTGCGGCGGCATCGGCGAAGGGGAGTTCAAGGTGCGGCGCTCCTGCGGCCATGGCGGGCCTGATGGAGGTGCCCTCGATGGAGGAGCTGGACGTGCCGGAGGTGAGCCGCCCCCGCTGCTCCCCGGAGCGCCCAGCCCCAAGCGCTGCCTCAGTTTCCCCACTCGCCTGACCTCCCGTGACCTTTGACCCCCCCGGGGTTGACCTCCCCAAGCCCCTCTTGGGGGGGGGTCACTCTTCCCCAGGGGGTCAATATCCAGGTCTGGACCTGCAACCCCCTCTCCCTATTGCTCCTGCCCCCTCCCCCCCTTTATTTAACAAGCAAACAAATAAATAAGATTTTTTTTTTTTGCAAAAATTATTCATTTCCTGCAGTTTCAGAGCTTTTGAGAGTTTTATCCTTCTCCCAGCAAGCATCTGACAGCCAGCAGGAAGATTGCACTGGCTAAGATGGGAGCCCAGTAAATTTGGCAAGCAAGCAAAACAAAAATAAATAAAACAAAACAAGCAAATCCCCCCCCGCCCCCCCAAAAAAATTGTTACGTGGACTTTCACAACTTAAAATTTTAGTCCTTCTCCTGGCATGGATTTGACAACCAGCAGGAAGATTATATTTGAAGGGAAGGTGAGGAAAGGAATAAAATAAGAATTGATGAACAACCAGGCTGCACAATCTGGGATATTCATGAACTTTATTCGTTAATCAAATTTATATAACCATCTCACCCACTTTGGCATGTGCAAGAAGAGATAAAAAGGAAGCTTATGAACACTGCAGGTGCAATTATAAAAGACCACAGAAATATCAATGTTCTTAAATAATAAAGTTCTTAAAATGCAAACAAATAAATATCCTAAATATTGTGACCCTATTGAGGGGACGAGCAGAGGCTTCTCATGGTTTTAAACCACCCCACTCTCTTATGTAGCTGAAAGGTATTTATTTGTGTGCGTTACGAATCGTTGATGCCCTTGAAGGCCTGCAAGATGGCAACGTTGACTTCCTCGCTTGCTCCTCAGCTGCCGGTTGGCACCGCGGTCCTGAAGGCCGGTGCCCACCACTATGGCTCGCAGTGTGACCAGATCAACAAGGAGTTCATGCTGTGCCGTTGGGAGGAGAGGGACCCACGGAAGTGCTTGAAGGAGGGCCGGGCCGTCAGCAAGTGCGCTGTGGACTTTTTCAAGTGAGCCTGGCACGGGGAGGGCTCTGGGACTCCGGGCTGGGTCATGCTCTGAGGGCCTCGAAGGGAATTGTTATTAATAAAGGAGAATGTTTGTAGCTCAGGGTTGAAGTGAGTTGTATTAATGGTTTGTCACACAGCCAGATGTTCAGGCTGGATTTGCCATTTTAACCGACCTATTGAAACCTTCCCAAAGTCCTAAGATAGGCAGATGTGGATGCTTGATGGTGTTAACAGCAGTTTGTCAGCTGTTCCAAGCAAAGCTGCCTTCTGCAATTGACCAATAGAGATTTTGTCAATGCCGACAGTACTCAAATAATATATTAGTATGGTGTGTGGCACAGGTATTTGAACTGGAATTGGCATTTTTGTCCATCTGTTGAGTCCTTCCTAAGATGGGCAGATGTTCTTGTTTGATGGTGTGAAAAATCTGGTCGCAGGATGTCAGCTGTTCCAAGCAAAGCTGCCTTCCGCAATTGACCAGTGGTGATTTTGTCAATGTCGATGAAGTTCAAGTGGGGCTCCAGATGTTTTGGGGTTGTGTACCCAGGTTGTTATTTAATGCACCAGTCTTCCGTTCTTATTCTTGCCTGGGTGTCAACGTTCGGAATGTCTTGCAACCTTTTATTCCGTTAACCAAACGCGGCGGCCTCCTCTGGTTTTTTGCAGGCAGGTCAAGCTGCATTGCGCCGAGCCCTTCAACGAATACTGGAACTGTCTCGACAAGTCCAACACGTTGAAGCTTCGTCAGTGTCGGAAGCAGCAGCAGCTCTTCGATGATTGCGTGCTGGACAAGCTGGGCTGGGTGAGGCCAGAGCTGGGTCAGCTGTCAAAGGTAAACAAAGACCGTCCGTGTCTCTCTGGAGGCATGTCCTCGTGGTCAGTGGACCAAGTGCTCACTGCTGTTTCCCACCATCTCCAATCACGCGGAGATCCCCTTCCTCTGTTCCCATTGCAGCTCTGAGAATGTGGTAAGACTGAGTTCACTTTCCTCTTTGTTAGGATGCATGAGGCTGTGGAGCGTGGCCAGGTTAAACCAGCCCTTTAAGGGGGTGACAGGTTTCTGGCATGTGAAGGCCAGGGGTCTAACGCCCCTCTTTCTGACCCTGCCAGGCATATTTCTGTGCTGACAGAGCTAGCAGTTTTGCACGTGAGTTGGTGAGGTAGGAAGACGTTTGCTCGGAAAGGATCTGTGTAACAGCCAGGGCAGTTGGAAGCAGTTGTCCCTCAAGTAGCCGCCTCTGTTAATTGCTAAGGATGTCTTGGAAGATAGAGGCAGGGAATGGATGGCTGCTTTTTAGCTATATTATGCTGCAGTTATCCTGGACCTGATGCTCCCTCCCAGTTTGGCTTTGTAGGGGTCTGGCCTATAATAGGTCAGTTTCAATGTAGGTTTTGAATTCCTTTTCTGTACCTCTTTTGCCCTTGTGGGCCTATCTTGTAATTTGCTCAGTTAAAACTCTGGCTACTTTATAGTCTAGTTTGAGGTGCGGAGTGTTTCCAGAGGACCCCTTCCTGCTTCCATGTCTCGTTGTACGGCTGTGTTTTGGGGGTTGGTTCACAGGGTTGCAGAGCAGCCTCTTCCCGTGTTGCACGCCAGCAAAGGGGCCTTACATTCTGGCGTGTTTATCAGATCTTGACCCAGCTTTCCAACCGAGGGTAAGAGGAGAATATTTACAGAGGCCCATTTAGTCTGACCCGAGTAGGAAATACCGGGCAGGAGATCCTGTGTCTTAACTGCCTCTAAACCAGCTTCAGGCGTCCTTCCCTGCTCTTTCCCTCCACTTCCCTTCTGAAATGCCTTTTTCCCTTGCAGCGCTTCCGTCCCTTCCGCTCAGCAAGAACTTCCCGTGTGATTCTTCCCTTTCCAGGTCACTAAAGTGAAGACCGACCGTCCCCTCCCCGAGAACCCCTGCCATTCCCGAACGAGAGCGCCAGCCAACCTGCCAACCGAAGGCGAATACAAGCCTGCGAAATACGGTCACCGAGGTTATTTCTGGAGTTGGTAGAGGGGGAAAAAAAAAATTTGCACTTCTGCACGTACACCAGCCATGGAAGAAAACCGTGAGGTTTTTTTTTTGGTGGACCGTAGATTACACTTCGTTGGTGTTGGATGGATCTTACCTGTACCCAACAGTCATTAAATGCATATTCTTTGAGCGGTCCGACTTTTCATGCTTTCTTCTCATGTGTTTGTTTGAAATAGACGAGTACAGAAACGTTCTCTGTAACCCTGGAATCAGCCTCCCTGGGCAGCAGTGAGGAAGGCGTCTAATGGGGTTTAAGGAGATTATTATGGATTTCTTAACGCCCATCTTCTTGGGACAAACCAAGGGGATCTGCCTTTTCCTCCTTGCCCGCTGATCTTTGACTTTCTGAGCGTTGTCGCAGTTATTTTGAGCCTCGCTCTCAGTCCTTTTCACACAACCATTCATCCCAGCCTTGAAGGGGTTCTTGCGGTCTGCAGTGAGATTAACCTACCGTTTCCTTCCATATTTCTGGGATCCACACGGTGAAGACCTGTATCTCTATCTCCTGCTAAGATTCGGTTCTATTTCTGGGAATCTCCTCATCCACGTTAACTGACATTAAGGCTTTCAACTGCCCTCCTCTTGGTTCGCAATACTCCCTCAGATCCAGGAGGGGACAGAAAATTTTCCTACCTCCCTCTGTCTGTGTCCATCTCCATCTTCTTTAACCAAGGAGGCTCTGTAAACCGATGTGAGTTTTGTCAGTCTGTAATACTTCTTGCGCCCAAAACGCCGTCAGGGGCAAGGGGCTAAACCAGTTTGAGCAGGGGGTCCTTCCAACCCTGTCACTCTGTGTTCTGTAGACTTAACCAAGTTCAAAGCAGTGTTGGAAAATAGCATGCACGTTTTTTTTGAGTTTCAGGACGCCTTCCCTGGAGATTAAACAGACCTGCAGATATACCTCATCGCTACGTGGACATCAGAGCTACGGGGAGGAATAAAGCGGGAGGGGATCTCAGCTGTGCCAGCATAGGTTAAAGCTGGAACATGAGAGGAGGAGGCTGCCAGCAGGCAGCAGTGAACTGATGGTTGGTTGCATTGGAGATTCCCTGAGGTTGCTGGGCTGTAAAAATCAGCAAACAGTTGTTGTTTCTCCCAGTCCTGAGAATATGAACTCCAGCTGTTTAGTCCAATTCTTCGGCCGAGAGGGAGCGTCTTGGGCTAGAAGTCTGCGGCCGACATAAACAAGGCAGGCGGCAAGTGATTCGCGTGGTTTCAGTAGTTCTCTATCCTTCGACGGTGCGTGTCAGTTCCAGAAATCCTGCTGCGTCGTTCTCCTCTTGCTTGTGGATCAAAACACCAGAAACGTACACAGATCAGTGCAGCCTCTGGAAAGCATAAATAAAGCACAGGTGATTAAGGACCTGCGCCTAGCCCAGATGAAACATTTGGCGTGCGCGCGCACACACACACACACACACACACACACACGCATGGAAAAACAGTCTGGTGTCCTTAATATAATGGGCATGTGTCTCTCTCTCTCTCTCTGCGTGTGTGTCTGTCTGTGTCTTGAGATGATTATTTTTTTTCATTTATCTTACGTATATATTTACACGGTTTGCAATCCTGCTGTTCTGCCCGTAGGTCATTCAAGGCAGCCTTTTTCTTTAGAGAAGAATTTCATCCGGGAGG